GCCGCTGTCGCTGTCGTCTACCTTCGCTTTAGCCCCACGCCCTGTCAGCCCCCGTGGCACAAGAAAATAAACTCTGCGTGCTTTGTAATAACGAGTACAATTTTCTGGGCATATAAAGCAAAAAAAAAAAAAAAGATGAAAAAGCCTGAATAAAGAAATTGACAAAAGTAATGTGTGTACATCGGTTTTAATGTAACTGTGTGCGTATGTGTGCGTCTGTGTTAACTGAAATGTACATAACTTATTCCATTTTCGGAAGTATTTGTATTAAAATTGAACAGTTTTCATATACGGAAAAAAATAGGCAAAAGAATTGCCCAGACCTAAGTCAATTTTAATATAAAAAAAACTATACATATTTATATACATATACTTTGCCTATATATATTTATATAAGTATATATATAACATTCTTGTTCTGTATGTATATATAAAATTATATATGTATATATTTAGTTTTGTTGCAGGAAAAATAGCTAAATAATAAAAGGGTGTGTGACGCAAATATTTTGTATATATCTTAATATGTACATACATATTTGTACATATGTGTGTGTGTGAATTTATCTACTGCTTCAACTAATTTTCAGACTCTTTGTTTGAGTTATGTTTATTTTGAATAAAAAAGAAACACATTTTAAATATTATAGCACGCACTTAGGTGCTAAACGAAACGGTTTCATACAATGATTGATAATTAACAACATACGAAATATAACAAATGAAAAACTCGTATCAACAGATATATAGGAATATTATTAAAGGACACACTAATGATTATAACAAACGAATGTATAATAATTATATAAAAATAAAACCTCAAAAATAGTACAAGTAAATTACTAAATGTCGAAAATTAAAATGATAAATTACGAAATATAACATATACAAATTATTGTATCAACAGATATATAATATATATAAATTCATAAACATGACAGATGAAATACGCGTATCAACAATTTATACAAATTGAAATCACCAAATTGAATTGTTTATAAGTTTAGAAATTTCCATTCAAATCAATTAAATTTCTGCCAAAGTCTTGAGCTGTTGCAGCTCTAAATTGTATAATAAGATAAAACTACTCACATTGATGAC